CAGATCGATGCACCGTTTTTCCGGTCCTGGTTTGCCTGCGACGCGGTCCCGGTTCTTCTCGCTGCCGACAGGAACGACGAAGCCGCAAACCTGCTCAACCGTCAACTGGAGGCGGCACGGAAACTGACACTGCGCCAGTTTGAAGGTTGGCTTCAGTTGAACAAGGCAGAACTGCTTCGAACAAGCCACAGGCTGAGCGAAGCAGAAGCCGAGGCCAATGCAGCCCTTGCCTGTGCCCTGGAAATAGGCGATCTCGTTCTCGAACCCGCCGCCATGCTGACCCTTGCCGCGTTCAGAACAGGATCCGGAAAGTCTCAGGACAAAAAGACCGCAATGGATCTGGCGGAAAAACGCGGCTTTTCATTTTTGGTGCGCGAGCTGTCTGCGCAAAAAAGGAGATGGGCAGGATGAAGTCCTATACGTTGAGGCCCTGACGTCCTTCACAGAGTTCTTACCGCGATGTTCCACAAAGCCGGTCGGCCTCCGCATCCAACACCGCGTTCAAAGCTTTCCGAACAGTGCCGCGCACCATCGCGCCGAGATGGTCCTTGATCCGGGCTTCTTTAATCCGAATCACGTTGCCCATCTCCTTTTACTCGTCGTAATCAATCATTTGTGGCACCCTTCAATCGGAACAAAGGGAACCGTCTCGACCTGCAAATATGCGAAAGATTTGATTTTTCAGTTCATTAACATTTCCGAGACAGGCGATATTTCAAATTTACCATTTAGACTTTCCCCATATCCAACGAACTTTCTCCCGTCTGGAGAGAAAATAACTAGCGTTCTCGAGTCATTATCATCGTCTTCATCTTCAGGATAAGGAAAAGCCGTTTTGCATCCAAGGACTTTGACAATACTCGGCCCTATTACAAAAGCGTTTCTAGGCAAGTCAGGAATTTCGTGAACAACCACATAAGTTTGAAATTCTCTGTCATCGGGCACTAATTCTACGCCGAGGTAACCCTCAAAATTTGCCAGTTTCCAGTACTCTGCTGCCTCCAATATCATTTCCACATCTATCTCAAAGGAAACAGATAACGCTCTCTGCAAGAGTTTGAAAGTTACCGCTCTCTCAACACTCATTTCAATGATCATCTATTTTTTTCTCATCTGTTTGCATACGATTGTCTGCTATCAAACAAATCAGTCAATCGCTTTTCAGATCCGCCATCCAACCCCTCATTCCTGCTCGAACGCATGCCGTCAAATCCCCTGCGTTCCCATGCAATCCACCTGATCCACTCATAAGTAGAAGGACACCAAATTCAGCCTGTGTAATATTCACAAGCCTTAGCCCTGAACTTGGAGAAATTGCTCCCTCGCTTTTGTCGTGCATACCGTAAAAGCGTCCGGACGACGCAAGAAGGTCTCCAATTGCGAGCAAGGTCGAGATACCTGAATTTGTTTCTGCGATATCTGCCAATAAGTTAACTTCGCCTTTCGCGATTATTTTCGGAGTGTTTCGATTTCCGTTCCCGAACTACGTTTTTCACTTAACCTAGATCGTGCCCACCCAGCTTAAATGGGCACAATCTCTGACCAAGTATCATCGCCAGAGCGCCTTCATCGGACGGACAATTCCATCAAGAGGCCTCATATTCTTCAAATAAGCTCTAAGTTACAGAAAGCTTCGGTTAACTGGCCGAAAACAGCCTGATACGCCAGTGTACTCCGAAAAAAGATAAGCAAAAAACTTCATCCGCCAACTGCCATTGCCGTAACCCTGTCCGTATTCTGAAGTTCAAGCAAAACGCAGCCCGGGCAAAGTTGTTTTGACGCATTTTTTATGCTCGGCGGACGCCTCGCTTCGCGGACCGTGCGTGAATATGACACCGATTTTACGATCCGACCTGACAATCAGACCCGAAATCGCAACGAACAGATTGCGCGGACAGCCGGCGGACTAAACGACCAGCAGCACTTAGGGGCTGTATTCACATCACATTTCCTCCGGCTGCTCGGCTCTTCGCGGTTTCTTCCTTTCGAACAGCAAGACGAGTCGGGTTGATGACGATACAAAACATACTCACGGCACATCACACTGCTGCCGCGAACGCTTCGGTTCCGAGTGTTCTGACACCCCAGCAGGCGAAAAAGGCCGGACAGTACAATGCCAAACGCGCTCGGCGCATCGGTTGGTCTCACTATTGGTCCGGCGTTTGTCGTGTACTCGGCATATCAAATGGTCTTTTGACGCGTGAGGACTTCAGCCAATACGTCGCAGTCTTCCAGATTAGCAAGAGGATCAGCGGCGATGGAATGCTGGGACCGGACACCTGGCGCCGCATGCGGGCGGAAGTCAGGATCGTTCTGAAAATCTTGCCGCAACCAGGCTGGTTGCCCAAGTCAGCGCCTGGTCGATCCCCGGTCAAGGCGATTTCGGTCGAGGCACTCAATCTGAAGGCGCCCTGGATGGCCATCGCATTGAACGAGCAGGAAACAAACTGGGTAAACGACGATGGCAATGCAATCTCCGAAGGCGACACGCGTGTCGACGAGGGGTATTTCGAAGCTTGCCCATACATGGGCGGGAACCCTTGGGAGTTGAAACTGAAGCACACCAGAAAAATCAACAACCATCACTGGTGCGCGGCTTTTGTGAATTACTGTTTGCACACCGCAGGATACAGCCACTCCGGCAGCGCCGGTGCCTTTTCCTTCCTGCAGAAAAGAAGATGGCGTTTCAAGGCTTTGAGTGAACCGACCAGAGGCTGCGTCATTGTCATGAGACACAACAAGAAGAACTGGGACCATGTCGCCTTCCTCGACGAAGTCGGCGATCTGCCAAGCAACCCCGAGGGCAACGTCAATTCCAGGAAACACAAGAACTTCAAACCCCTGGGCGGAAACCAGGGTGGCGACAGCGTGAACTCCAAGACATTCGGCAACTGGACCCTCTATGCGGGTAAGGACGGGTTCGGCAACAAATCGCCCTATCTTTATCCCCTCAAGGGGGAAGGCGACGAGAATTGCAATGTTGAACTGCCGACAGCCGGACCCCACTTTTGCGGAGAACAATGGGTCTAGACCGGCTTGTGCATGAACATCGAATGAACCCCGTGCGTTGGCAACACATCGGGGTCATTTTTCGGAAGACAAACCTGCAAGGCGACTTTTTCACGCAGATCAGATTTGGATGTGCGAGCGCCTGGGCTGTTACGGCAGGCGAACAATCAGCGTGCCGCGATCACCCGCCGCGATAAATCCGCCGTCCGGTGTTGTCGAGACCGCTCGCAAGCCGACATCCGTCCCGCCAGGATCCCTGCGCCAGACCATTCCGTCATGACGATAGATCGTGCCCGCCGCACCGACCGCTATCACCTCGCGGTCATTCCCGGTGACGGCAAGCAGGTCGGCTCGCGCCCTGGCCGGCGTGATGGTCCATCTGGTTCCATCGAAGTGGCCGATTGTGCCGGAGAGACCGACGACGAAAATGTCGTTCAGGGCCCGCCCCCAGACATCAAACAGAAAATACTCCGTTCCTGCGTTGAATTCATCCCAGCATTCGCCGTTCCAACGCTGAACCAGACCGAAATCGCCAACCGCTAGGATATGTCTGTCATCCGGTCCCCAAAGCCCGTAAAGCGCGCTTTTTGTGCCGCTTGCCGCTCGAACCCAGTCCGCCGATTCCGGTGTTTTACACAGAACCAGTCCCTCGTCTCCCGCGGCGAAAAATGTCGAGCCGTCCGACCAGAGTGAAAGAATGGTCACATCCATGTGCAAATCGTAGACTTTCCGCCATTTCGCGCCATCGAACTGGTGTATCTCACCCATCTGACCGGCCGCCAGAAGACCACCGTCCGGAGCTCTGCTCAGCGCATGGATACCCAGGTCATTGACAGGAGGAAGCGCTTCCCACTTCCCACGATCGAACGCAAGAACAGTACCTTCTTCGCCACAGGCAAAAAGGTCATCTTGTCGGGTGTCATGCCACACACCCCAGAGCTGTCGATCGGTGCCACTGGCAACAGGTTCCCAGAGCGTCGCAGCTTCACGGGTTGCAACATAGGGTTTGAAATTCTCCAACGCCGTCGCATTTGCCGTCAAGGCAGTTCCGAAATCTCCCACCGAGACCACCTCGCCTGTCGCAAGCGTGACGATGCCGAGAAGGTCGTGATTGGTACCACTGTCCAGTCGCTCGATCCCGTCATGCCCCAGCAGATGCATTTGACCCGCATCGCCGACCAGGATTGCGCCGTGCTTGTAGGCAGCAAGCGCCCGGAACCGTGAAAACGTCTTCTCTGCGAAGAGCGTCTTGAACGTCTTTCCATCCCACAGCACGAGATCTCCTCGAAACCCGTTCGCATCCACGAAATACCGTCCCCCTGCCAGCAAGACCGTGTTGTCTTCAAGAGGCAGTGCCGAGGTAAAATTGGAATGGATCGGACAGGATTGCTTGTGCCATTGCCCGTCTTCGTTCCGGATCAGGACGATACCGTCTCCACCGGCTGCCAGAACCCTGCCATCCGGCAAAATGACGACGCAGCGCAAATGTGCGCGAACACCGGAATTCTCCGATACCCAGTCCTGACCGTCAAAGTGCAGGATTGTTCCGCGGTCACCCACGGCCCAGGCTTGGCCATTTGGCAATCCGGCAACGCCGAACAGCGGGGCGTTCTCCGATGCGTCGGAGTATTTTCCGCCTTCATTCGTGACGCAACCACGAACCTTTGTCCAAACCCTGCCGTCATGATGCAGGACCAGCCCCATCCAGCCCACAGCCCACAGGTCGTTTCTTGATGTTCCCCAGAGCGAGTGAACAGGCACCGGAGCGGGAACAGGCTGACGTTTCCATTCCGTTCCATCGAAGTGAAAGATCACACCGTCATCACCGGCAACAAAGACCCCTGCCTCGTCTGCCCAACCGTCCCAGAAGACGTCACCCGCTCCGGCGGAAAGTTCATCAATCTGCAGCCAGCCACCGGGTTCCGATGCCGTCCTGGAAATCCGGCCGCGAAAAAAATCCCGGCGCGAAACGTCTTCCGTTACGGTTTGCATCATTCAGCTCCGTTTCGCCCTGTCATGTCCCGCAGCCTGCCTGTCTCCTGGCTCAGCAAAGCTGCAATCTCGTCACCCAGCTCTTCCTGCTGACCTGCCGGAAGATCCGCCAATGCGGTTCGCAGCGCTTCATCCTCGAGATTTGTCTGGAACACCTCGCCAAGAGTATGCGCAACTGCTGCATCGAATCCGGCACGTCCGGTAGCGGCAACAGCCTCAATCAATGGCTCGAATGCGCGCGCCACCGCACTTTCCGGTCGCTCGGTAACCACGGGCTGACCGGTGTCCGACCCCATGGCGAGCTCGGGGGCAAGCGGGATAGCCGCAAGACGGCTTATTCCCAGTCCCTCGAGCGCTTCGCCAAGACCCGCATCAGGAAACAGATGGAACTCTTCGCTGCAATGCGGACACACGATCCCTGCCATGTTTTCAACGGCACCGATCACGGGAAGCCCACGTTCATTGCAGAACCGGCCCGCCTTGAGACTGTCCATTTGCGCAACCGCCTGCGGCGTGGTGACCAGGACGGCAGATACGTCCGATCCTTCAAGCATGTCGCAAAGCGTAATCAGCTCATTTCCTGTGCCTGGTGGCATGTCGACCACCAGATAGTCGAGCGATCCCCAGTCGAAACTTCCGATCAGGTGATGGATGAAGTCGTGTTTGTACGCATCGCGCCAGACTACTGGTGTGCTGTCATCCTCCAGCATGAAGGCCAGCGATCCGACTTTCACCGGATGGGATATACCGTCCGCTTCGAAAGCCAGCGTCTTCAGGCCGTCATATGTCGTGCGGGTCCGTCCACCGGCAAATCCGAAAAACCGGCTCTGGTTCGGACCGTGGATATCGGCATCGGCAACACCGACCCGAAAGCCGAGCCTGGCAAGGCCGGCGGAAAGATTGGCCGACACCGTGCTCTTGCCGACACCACCCTTGTTTGCGAGCACCACGATGATGTGGCCGATTTCCTCAAGGCGGTTTTCGATGAGACGCTTGTTGTGAAGAGGCTTGTCCAGAGTGCAATGCGTTTCTTCGGGACAAAACTGGCAGGCATGTCCGAGGCCGCAGTCGAGCGAGGTGGTCTTCGGTCCGAAGGTCATGGCGTCAACCGCCGCTCAGGTCGACGAGGATCCAGCCGTCGGACACACGTTTCAGCCCGTCACGCTCATCGTTTGCGCCCTGCCAGAGTGCGAATGCCATCGGCACGATGTCCTGCTCGAAGGATACCTGGTAGTCGCCCTCCGTGGAAATCTCCCGTGACATCACGACAGTCCATTCATTGGCATCATTCCCCCGCTTGTCGAGATACATGGCATCGCCGCTCACCGGCTGGTCGTCCAGCGTGGTGGTGCTGCCCGGCCCGCCTGCGGCAAGACTTTGAATGTCGCCTTGATCGGAACGCCAGTACCAGATGTTTACCGGCGCGTCGGGCCCGTCTCCCATCACGTAGGACGTCTCGTCATCCCCGAGCGAGAACTGAACGGCAACCGCGTCTCTGAACCGGTTGCTCCTGGTCACCGTGTCGGCCGTTTCGTCGCGCCAGCGCATGCGCACATAGAACCGTTCCGCGGTGCGCGCAAAGGTCAGGAACACGTACTGTCCCTCGTCGTCGTAGTCGACACGAAGATCGACAGATTCGTGCACTGCAGGCGCCGGGCCTACATGAACACGATACTCCGGAAGACGCTCCCAGATCACATCGTCAGGATCGTTGGTACTGCGCAGGTAGATCCCGTCGGGGATCTTGGAAACCGCGACCGTGTCTCCGGCCTCCAGCAGTTTCACATTCGCATCGACAATCTCCAGGCCCTCGGCATAGGCTGGTACGGTCAAAGATAGCACGGCGGTAACCGCAACTAGTCGGGACAGATGTCTCATGGATGTGATCTCCTTATCCCCAACGGTTTTGTGGAGCTGACTGACTTGCAGGAGCGGCCTTGTGAGCCTGCTGCGGCGCGTCCGGGTCGTTGAAGGGACCGACGCGTGTTTCAAGTTCACTGATCTGAGCCAGTGACCACCGGTCCATATCCTGCAAGAGCGTGAAAATCGTCGGATCGAGGTTCGGCAAGGCGGCCCGCCGCAGCTGTCCTGCGACCGCGTCGAGGGCCGGGCCAAGATACCGGCACAGAAAGTCACGCTGCGCGCGGCGATAAGGCGAAGGGTCGCGCTCGTTTTTCAGCGCGTGTGCTTCCAGGTGACAAAGAACAGCCATGAACTCCAGCATGCAGGCCAGATGATCCGGTTCGTCGTGGCGCCCCTCGTCCGTGATCGACGGCTTCAGACCGAAATGCTTGTAGAAAGCTGCAATGTTGAGCATGAAGACCGGCCGGGTCAGGCCCGCAAGGATGTCTTCGTTTTCCCCGACGAGCAATGCTGCGAGCGGCTTGCCGTTGCGCCCGTGCAGGAAAGCCGAGATGTAGCCCGCCTCGAAAGTTTCGAAATTCGACGACACATCGGCACCCGGCCAGCCCTGTCCCGCAACCTGGGCCCAGGCAGCGCTGAAGGCATCATGAAACTGCCTTGAGGCAACTGCTTCATAAAATTCGGGTGTCGGGTGCCCGCAGGCCAGGGCGGAGAGCCGCCACAGCGTCTCCTTTGCCATGGCCCGCTCCGGGGAATTTCCCATCGGAAGACGGTCTGGAGTGTGAACGGACATGGCTCAGCTCAGCTTGAACATTTCGGCATGGCGATAGCCGATCAGGGTGTCCATCAGCTCGCTGTCGCCTCCGCTGGCCTTTTTCTCGCGCTCTGACGCGAGTGTATCAAGCGCTGCCTTGACACCATTGCCGAACAGGCTCTCCAGATACTCCATCGGCACCCTGCTCTCCGCCGTCGCGCCTCCGCTGCCGTCGATCTTAGGCGGTGACATCGGCGGGACATAGAACACGTTTGGCTTGGTCCCCCATTCAGGATGCAGCGGCAGGGCCACCTTGTATTTTTCAACCAGCTGGTGAATGGGACCTGCTTCATCATCTCGATAGCCAATCCAGCGAATACGCCCGACACATTGCTTGGCGCAGGCGGTCGGCAATCCCTTTTCGATCCGCGGGTAGCAGAAGATGCATTTCTCGGACTTGGAAATCTCCTCGTTGAAATAGACCTTCTTGTAGGGACAGGCAGAAACGCAATACCGGTATCCGCGGCAGCGTTCCTGATCGATCAGGACGATACCGTCCTCCTGACGCTTGTAGATCGCATTGCGTGAGCAGGCCGCCAGGCACGCCGGGTTTTCGCAATGATTGCAAAGCCTTGGAAGATAGAAGTAGTAGCTGTTGGGATAATCGCCTTCGCCTTCATCCTCGTCCCAGTTCGCACCCCAGGTCGGTTTGACATTCGGGCGCAGCCAGGGATCGGTTCCTGTCATCAGCGCTTCTTCGTAGTTGTACTCCCACGGAACACCGTAGTCCTCCGGCGCCGGTTCCGTTCCCAGGCGCAGAGCGCCATCACCGTCGAAACCACCGCCCATGTCGGCGTAGTTCTTCGGATAACCGGTACCTGGCATCGTTTCGACGTTGTTCCAGTACATGTATTCCCGGCCATTCCGGTTGGTCCATTGCAGTTTGCATGCGGACGTACAGGTATGGCACCCGATGCACTTGTTCAGATCCATCACCATGCTGAGTTGACGTTTCACGGCCATGACTTAAACCTCCTCCCCTCGGTGCCGCTTACGCCGGCTCCACGTCCACACTGCTTTCATGAGCAAGCTGATTTGCATTCCATTTGAAGAGTTTGAAGCCCAGGTGCCCCCAACCGCCTGCGAGTTCCAGAGGCTGGATCAGGGTTGCCATCGCGTCGTTCATCGGCTTCATCTGTTCGTATTGATAGGGCTCCCAGCCATGCTCCATCATGATCGCCGTTTCAGGCAGGCTCGGGTAGAATTTTGCCTGGGCAAAGAACTCGCCGACCCCGTTGAAAATCCGGACCATCGAACCGTCGGTGATACCCTTGCGCGCCGCAAGTTTCGGGCTGATATAGATGTTTGGTTCACCGCGCTGCAGCCTCAGCATGAACTTGTTGGAGCGCCAGTTCGAATGAATGCCCCAGCGGGTGTGCGGCGAATAGAATGACAGCGGATAATTCGATGCTTCGCGTCCCGCATGGTGCCGGGCAGTCGGAACGGTCGCGCCCATCTTTTCGAAAGTGGGGTGATCGCAGTAGAACGTGATGCGTCCCGTCAGCGTTTCATAAGGTTTCTTGTCCTCTGTTTGCGCGACAAACGGATTGTAGGGTTCGTCCGGTGGGATCGGCTGGTTGTTGCCGCCCTCGGCATTCATGACGATGAACCCGCGTTCCGCGGCTTCTTCAAGTGTGACACCACCCAATTCCGGGCTGTTGTCGACCAACCACTTCGTGGCGTCGTAGTCGGTCATCAAGGTGCCGTTCATGGTGAAGTCGTCGTAAATCGTGTGAAGATCCCGGCTGACATTGCCGTCTTCAAACCCTTCCACGCCCCGCGCGATGGCGCGTTCCTGGATCTTCTTGCTCAGAAGCACCATGATGTCCCAGTCGGGTTTGGCTTCACCGATCGGGTCGACCGGACGTGAAAAGACGTTCACGAACCGATGGAAGCCAACCGATCTCAGGTCCCAGGCCTCGTAGTGGCTCGCCGCAGGCAGCAGGTAATCGGCCCACTGGGCGGTGCTGTCCATGCGCACATTGATATCAACGAACAACTCCTCGACTTCGTGCAGGATGTGCTCGCGATACTTGTCGGCAAACTTGTTGCGGCGGAACTTGTTGTCGGCGATCGAGATCAGGCCTTTCACATCGCCGTTGTAAGGCATCCAGCCTTCCTGAATGCTCTCGTTGATCGCCTCCTCCATCTCGTCGAGATTGAAGCCGACCCGATCCTTCAGTTTGTCATTGTCGAAATGCTTGCGGGCCTGTTCGAGCATCTTGCCGCGCTGAAATTCGCCGAGCCCGCCCGGTTCCAGCCGCGGGAATTTCTCGAAACCGAACAGGGCGAGACTGAGCCAGGGAATGTGTTTCCAGTCGATCCAGGAGGTATCGAGGCCACCTGTCTTGCCGCCATGCCCGGTCAGGGCAAGCATCAGCGTCTGGGCCCAGCCTGTATAGATACCGTTGGAATAGCGGCCGATATTGAATCCGGTCATCAGGATTGCCTTGCGGGCACCGGCAAAGAGGCGGGCTTCGGCCCGTACCATTTCCGCGGCAAGGCCGGTCTCCGATGCTGTTGCTTCCGGCGAATATTTGGATGCCTCTGCCTTGACCTTCTCAAAGACCGTAGTGACCTCGATGCCCTCGACCGTGAAGGTTCCTTCAAGCGCCGGATCGATACCTTCCAGGGCGAGTGTCTTGTCCTCGGATCCCATGGAACCCTTCACGGCAACGGCCGCACCGGAATTGAGATCCCAATGGTAGAAGACCTGGTCGGAGCCATCCGCCTTGATGTCGACCTCGCGCAGCATCTTTCCGGTGTCGGCACGGACCAGTACGGGCAGATCAGTCTGCTCCTTCATGAAGTCCGGCTTGTAGAGCTTTTCCTCGATGATCACGTTGACGAATGACATCGACAGAAATGGATCGGCCCCCTGCTTGATCGGCATCCAAAGATCGGCATGGATCGAGGACGGATTGTAATCGGGTGCGACGGAAACGACCCGGGCGCCGTTGTACTTGGCTTCCCAGATATAGTGCGCGTCAGGAATACGCGTGGCATTCGGATTGAACAGCGACATCATGATGTAGTCTGCATCGAACCAGGCATCCGAGGTGAAGCTTTCCAGCGGATTGCCGTACGCCAGGTGGGCGCCCGTGTTCAGATCGCCCACGTCGGTAAAGATATCGAGTTGAACCCCGCCTACCAGGGAGGCAAAACGATACGGGGCCGCAAACCTGACCATGGACAGATTGCCTGACCCCGTGTGTGTCATGAGCTTGCCCGGCCCATGCTTGACAAAGATGTCGATCACCTTGTCTGCAATTTCCTCGGTGATCTCGTCCCATTCCATGCGCTGCCATTTGCCCTCGCCGCGCTTTCCGACCCGCTTCAACGGGTAGCGCAGCCGGTCGGCGTCATACATGGCGGAAGAATGGATCGAGCCTTTCTGGCAGCCACGTGGATTGGCGTCAGGGACGTTCGGATTGATTTGCGGGTACTTGGCAAGCTGCTCTTCGCGCAGAACGATCCCGTCCTTTACGTAGACATCGAACGCGCAGTTGCCGACACAGTTGATGCAATGCGCCGCCTTGCCGATCTTGTCCCAGGTAAATTCACGACGATAAAGATCTTCCCAGTCGCGATACGGGTACTCGGTGTCGAGCGTGTCCTCGATCGGTTCCAGCCGATTGAGTGCCCATGACTTGTCCGCGGCCAGTACCCCGGCGCCGACCAGCGTGGTGCTTTTCAGGAAATCCCGACGCTTCATGCGCAGCATGACTATCCTCCCCATCCACCGCCGTGCCGAAAACGACGCGCGGTCCTCGTCTCTCCGTATTCACGATAGCAAGGGGAAGTGTTTCAAAGGCTGCGAAGTTGTGAACGGATGTAAACGACATGTAAACAGATCCGGAAGCCACTTCCTTATCTGCACCGGATCTGATGTAATCCACTCGAAAGCATAGGTGGAGAGGACGGCCTGCAAGGGCTGCTATGCAGATGACAGCTGATGACCGTTGCGACGGCGGGCTGCAAACCGGTCCGCACAACTTGGCCGGAATAGCGGTCTCGTATCTTGAAAAACGCCAGGACGTACTTGTCGATCGTTCGATCGAGATTGCAAAGCTGAATGGTTATGCGCCGTTCACGACAACCATTCGTGCGGCCTGGGTTTCAGCCGTATTGAGCATCACGGAGTGTCTCGGCAATTATCTTGCAATCGCCGAGACGGACGCAACCGGCCCGATGGCAACGCTCGACTACAAGTCGGACCCTCGCTTCACCCGCATGCGCAAGATTGCGCGTCAGCACCGCTCGCTGGGTATAACACTGCCGATGTATATCGGCCTCTTCAAGCACTTCCGAAATCTCTATGTTTCCATGCTTGAGGACCTGCCGGCCAAATTCCATCCGCAGGTGACCAATCGTGTCCGCGACTTTTTTGACGAGACCGAACTCAGCATTACCGCCGACTGGACCAACTCGAACGAAAATGTGCGACTGCGCGAACTTCAGGAACGTGCAAGAGCGATGTCGCTCGACAAGGATCGTTATTTTGCGGTTTTCGAAAGCCTGCGAAATCCGGCATTTCTTCTCGACAAGTCACAGAATTTACTGAATGCGAACAAGGCTGCTGCAGAATTGTTTCTGGGTGATGCCGAGGCAGGTGAGATTGTCTATCTGCGCTCCATGAGCGAGCGGAAAAGTTCCTTGCAGACCGTTATCGGCAAGATCAAGGCCGCTGCCACGGAGCATGACCAGTCGGTCTGGCTTGAGACGCTGAACGGGACCCGCTGCTTCGACGTTCGCAGGCGGGCACTTCACGACGCTGTCGAGAACATCAAGATCGGGCACGTGGTTCTGTTGAATGACGTGACGCAACACCGGCGAGCAGCGGAACTTGCGCAGCAGTCCGAACGGGGAATGTCGCGCTTCCTCGCAACAATGAGCCATGAAATTCGCACACCTCTTCACAGTGTGCTCGGAGCAACTGAATTGCTGCGGACCGCGGACAATGACAGTGCCGATGATTTCCTCGATGTCATCGAGGCGGCCGGCCAGACCCTGTTGCAGACCCTCAACAATGTTCTGGACTATTCCAAATGCGGCAATGGACCGCCTCCCTCACGGCCCATCGCGATTGATCTCAAGCACACGCTCGGTGAATTTGAACGGATTGCCACCGTTCGGCGCACCCGAAGTAATTCGCACCTGGATTTCAATGTCGTGCCCGAGTTGCCGGCTTCCATCAAGATCGACTGGGCAATGACGCAACAGGTGCTCAGCAACCTTGTCTCCAATGCCATGCGGGTCGACGACGGTCGCGGTGTCAGGGTCAACGTTTCGGAGGCAACCGGCAAAGGCGGCGGGACCTTGCTGCGATTTGAGATCCGCGACCATGGCCCCGGCCTCTCCGCTGACGATGGGGAGGCGCTCTTCCGGCCATTTGAACGAACCAGTGCAAGAGATACGGGAAACGGAGGCACCGGCCTCGGTTTGGCGATCGCACATCATCTCGTCCAGGCCATGGGAGGCGAAATAGGTTACGAAAATCGCGACGTGGGTGCCTTGCTCTGGTTTGAATTGCCGTTCGAGGTATGCGCCGCACCTGTTGCGAAAAACGAAGGGATTTCCCCCTCGGTTGAAGCGCTTCCGCATTTTGCACGCCGCTGTCTGCTCGTTGACGATGATCCGATTGGCAGCACGGTGACGAAACGTTTGCTCGAGCGTTTGGGCTTTCAGGTCGACCTTGCCGCCTCGGTGCATGATGCCAACCGACTTGCCAGGTCATCCGAATATGCCGTCTTCGTGGTCGACTACATTCTGCCTGACGGCGATGGGCCGTCGCTGGTCGACAAATTGCGGCAGAACGCGCGCACGCAAGCACGCTATGTCGCTTTGACGGCCAATGTCGAAGCGCTTGAAGGCAACAACGATCTCAGTCAACGCTTTCACCGCATCCTGGCCAAGCCGGCCGACCTCCAGACACTTTCGGCAGCATTGCTGGTTCCAGCGCAGTCATCCGGTTCGACCGCCTCGACCGGCAAGGCAGCACCGAAAGGAAACCTGGATGGGCTGACCCATGATACCGTGCGCGCGATGACCGAAGCCTTCCAGGACGCGTGGAACGAGTTCAGATCCGATATCACTTCGGGCAATGATAAGAGGAAATTGGGCCGACAGGCGCATCGGCTCGCAGGAAGCTCGGCCATTCTTGGATTGCACGAACTGGAAACGCCGCTGCGCGAACTTGAAAGACGCTGTCAGGAACCCGCCGGCGACACTGAAATCGAACCTCTGGTTGGTCGGCTCGATCTGGATTTGCCAAAGCTGGCAACCTGGGTCGAGCTAAGAAAGTCGGTCGGCTTCTCATGACCCTCGGCACCTACCAGACTCCAGTTCGCCATCACCAGAAAATTCTCGGCTCCGTGCTTTGCGTCGATGACGATCCGGTCGTTCAATTGATGCTGGGGGACATCGTGCGGATTGCCGGTGGCGACTACCACAAGGCTGACTGCGCGCGGACCGCCGAAGACATGCTCGGTCAAAGCCGCTTCGACCTGATCCTTCTGGATCGCAAGCTGCCCGATAGTGACGGCTTGCTGCTCCTGCGCACGATCAAACAGAGCAGCGACTGCCCTGTTATCGTGCTGACCTCGATGAACGAGGATCACGACAAGATCCTCGGTCTGGGGCTTGGCGCTGAAGAATACGTCACCAAACCTTTCAGTCCCGGTGAACTCAGCAGCAGGGTGCGCTCACTTCTTGTACAGCGGCTTGAAAAGCAGCGTCAGACGCATCTGGATCCGATTTCGCTTGGCAGGCTGTTCTTCCAGGCCGGAACGAGATTGCTTCGGGTCGATACTGCCGAAGTCTACCTGCCCCCGGCGGAGTCTCGCCTTTTACATGCCTTTCTGCTCGAACCAGGCGTCCCGCAGAGCCGAGACGACCTCACAAGATATGTTTGTGGCAGGGACTGGACCGCCGGGGATCGTACTGTTGACGTTCTGGTTGCAAGATTACGGCGACGGATCCCACCAGGCACAGCGAAAATCGTCACAATTCACCGGTTCGGCTATGTGCTCAACCGGGTTGATTAAAGCCGTGCAGCAGGACCCGTCGCAAGACCGGAACCATTGGTCAAGCGCTGCTGTTTTTTGCAAGTAGGTGGATCGTAGCGCAGCAACCAAAAACACACTTGAATCTTGAGATGCTTCCGTTTGGACGGGCGCCGGTCAGGAGCCGACTTGAAGTCAAATCAGTTGATTTCCGACAAACGAAGGCAACCCGACGAAAACTGGCTAACGAACCCCTTGCCGGGACTGGACCTGTACATTTCGGTTCAGACGTGCCCAGTACGGTCATCCGCTGGGTGCGGTCACGAATTCACTCCTCCGAAATCTGGAGTTCTGCCACAAAGTCATAAGCATCGCCGCGCCCACGCAAAGTCGAAGCCCTCAACCATGGGCATTGAACCAGGTGGCGGTCTGTGACCCAGCCAGGTGGACAGCGGGCCTGTTTTTGGGTAGCATTTGGAGGGGCCCCAAACCAATACGGAAGGGGGGCATCTTGAAATCAAACGACTTGCAAGAACCAGCTCCAGCTCTGGCCTCGGCCTGCCGCCTGCCTGGCAACCGAAGGGCTGAGGGAAGGACCTAGTCTTGGTTGCACGGCCTCCATATCCAAACGAAGAACAGCAGAAATCCTGGCGTGTTGCCTTCCGCCAAGTAGAGACCCCTCTAGAAGTCTTCTTGGCGCGTGAAGGAAAAAGCCGCCATCCCGGTGCAGCTTCCCGGTGAGGCAACGGTTGGATGTTGCGCGGCATGGTGGCTCTCTTGCAACGGCGCTGCATGGTGAAGCGATAGAAATCGTACCATCCCGCTCTACTAGTATGCAAACTAGCCCATGCGTGGATTTGTTTTGTCATATGAAAACAACGATAGGCATCAAAAGGTCCCTTACATGGGATGACCATTGAAGAAACCAACAACTGGATGATCTTTCCCACCAAATGGGGAAGATACCCATGGTCATTTCGGGGCCAGGCATATTGATCAACCCCCATGTAACAACATCCATTATTGCTTACATTCAATTTTAACTGTGGGCAATCAAAAACAAGCAGGCTGTCAGTTTGCTTGGTAAGTAAAGCAGACTTGCCCCAAAGACCTAACAACTGCTGGCAACTCGGTTCGTGAACTCCCATGTCTTAGGCTATGTTGATTCGTGCAATGGTGCAAGGTGGTCAAGCTGATGGTAGTTCGCTTGCGCACCGAAGAATGGATCCCAAACTGGCCGCCACGCCGGTCGTTTTCAGCGGCGGTCCCGTTGCCAGCTTTGCTGGTGACCACAAAGCGCGGAGAGGTCGGGTCTCGCATGTGACGCATTTGGAATGGACCAACATTAGAGCTGCAAACGAGACCAGCCTTCGGAGCGATTCCATCTTAAGATCCACCAACAGAGAGTCCTGATCAGCCCTTGCATCGCCAGTCAGAAGGAATTGGCTGCAAACCATCGATGAGTGGCATGCCCGCCCAGAAGCGCGGGGAGCGTCTCTTCCCACATCCCATGAACAGTGGCTAACTACATTAGTGCTTAAAATGATGGACCTCATGTTGGTTGGTAATTAAAGGAAACAAAAGGACACCAACCACTTGAGGGGACCATTCTGGTGGAAACCCATTGCTGATCAGAGCGATGCCATTCAGAGCCAAGCTCTCGCATCTGCTTCTCAATCCCGATCTGACCAAACCAGCGGGTTCGGTGGATGGATAAGAA